CCGGAGGGCCTGGGGGAGAAGGAGGTGTGGGAAGGGAACAGCCAGTAAACATCGCCATAGACGGGGAACAACTAAGGAATTAAAATCCACAATAACAAGAATGTAGAGATCCTGAGGGTGTTGGAGCAACAGCAATCTTGCTGAGAAAAATTACTAAGAAGCGGAAGTAGGGTGAGCGTGTTGGTGGGTCAGGAAAGTGGTGAAAGGAAATAGGGGAACAATCTAGGAAGCAAAAAAAGATAGAGGTATAACATAGCTGTATACACATGTTAATATATTGATTCATAAAAATAGATATTGGCCCATGTACATACATTTATATGGAAATATACTAAGGTTGTAGATGAACTTTAGGCTTCTCTTCATGCCCTCCCACCATGTAAGAACACTTTGTTCTAACAACCTGGCATTCTGTGATGCTCACCCTCCTGGCACAATCGCTGAAAGACAAAATGGGTGCATAAGCAAATGCAGTGAAGATAGCAGATGGTGTCCAGCTATCAAAAGATATAGCATCTGGGGTCTTAAATGTTTGAAGTTAAACAAGCAGCCATCTAGCAGAGAAGCAACAAGCCCACATGGAAAAGGCACACCAGCCTGATCATGAGGTATTGCCAGGACCGGGTAACAGTCATCAGAAGATCTCAAACAAACAAACAAAAAACATATTGTTGAGAACAAGAGGGATCCGAGCAGAGACTCAAAGCCCATTTATAGACAATGGGGCATCGCCTCACCCACTATCATGACTCCAGCACTGCCTTTCACTGCGGGTTAGACCGATCATGTGCACAGGTACAGATAAGAGATAAGAGCTCAGACACACGGAATCTAGGAACACAAATGGGAGTAGTGATACCAGGAGGGCAGGGAGAAGGTAGGAAAAGGAGGGGAGGAAGGGGGAACAGATTGTGATAATAGAAACATACCCACCACCCATGGGACGAACAACAGAAACCATGGGGGAAGGGAGACAGCGGTTGGTGTAAGATATGAAAATAATAATTTATCATTTATCAAGGGGTCACCAGGGTGGGGAGAGGGAAGGGGTGGGGAAGAGGAGCTGACACCAAAGGCTCAATAGAAAATAAATGTCCAGAAAATAATGATGGCAACATATGTACAAATGTGCTTGATACAATTGATGCATGAATTGCTACAAGAGCTGTAAGAGCCCTCAATACATTGTTTAAAAAAACAACAACTGTGAATTAACATAAATCAAAGGATTGCCACTGGCTGAGACTACATTAGTTATGTACACACATTACTTCCAATGAGGACAGAGCTGGTGGTATTATAATCCCCATTTAAAGTGAGAAAATGTTGAGAAAGGTTAAAGGCTAGCAAACTGAGATTATACTGAATGAGTTTCAGCTGAGCTTCTGGACTAAGACAGATTAGGAATAAGGGCCTGGTGATCTCGATACTTCCAAAAGTCAATGAAAACACAGAGATGGGGGAACATCGTGAGTCAGCATCTGACTCCAGGGCAACACCAGGACACCGCTTCCGTTAAGTTTTTCTGGCTCAGATCCACCTACCATAATGTCTCTTCAGGAATACTGAGAAGTACTCCTAAAATACTCCCTCCAAAGGGTGGTCTCTAAGCATCTTTGGTGTGAGTGGGTTGTAGCTATCTCTAAATGCTGGTTGAATACAGAGAGTCCTGCAGGAAGAACCATGCTGTGTGTCAGACTGTATCCTGCCCTGAACGACCTGCAGGCATTAGTTTCTTAGATATTGGCTCTCACCTCAGGCAGGAGCTTAATGTAAGACACAAGTGAGTTTTTGGTAAAATGAAGGGAAAGAAGACCTTGTTCAATATGAAGACGTAATTTTTATAAACTTTCCTGCCACCTCTATATCAATACTGTTGTTGAATGGACGGAGTGCATTTTCGACTCAGAAAAACCCCGTGTGACAGAGCAGAACAGTCCCATGGGGTGATCATTACAGAAGCAGAGCACCAGTTCTTGCTTCACAGGTAGATTCAAACTGCCAACTTCTCAGTTCACAGTCAAGTACCAGCCAGACACCCTGCCTGTTGATAGGTATATGTTATACTTGTATATGATACTTTTGTATTATATTCATTGGAAAAATATATTATGAATAGAATTGATTAATTTGATTTGTGAATGAGTGGTACTTTTAAAGGTATAATTTTATTCAGTAAACAACAAGCTCTACTGGCATTGGACAACCTGTAGTACAAAGTATGTTAGCTATATACAGGTGCTGGTGCATTGTGAAAACTGTGCAGGGGTGGTGTCTGATCTCCTCCAACTTCACAAAGGAGAGGGGGGATCACCCTCAGGATCAACACAAGCCCAATTCATTGTGGAAGTCAGCTAGGACTCGACCCTCTAACACCAGCGCTTCTCAACCTGTGGATCAAATGACCCTTTCACAGGGGTCGCCTAACACCATTGAAAAACACATATGTCCAATGGCCTTAGGAACGGAGACACCGCTCTTCTCCAGGCGGGTCTGCCCACGTGCAGATACACCCACATAAGAGCACCTGGCATGAAGACTGTTACCCATGCTACACCATGCTTCGAGACAAAATCTCATTTATTTACATTAGAAATAAATATTTCACAATATATAATTACATATTGTTTTTGTGATTAATCACTATGCTTTAATTATGTTCAATTTGTAACAATGAAAATACATTCTGCATATCAGATATTTACATGACGATTCATAACAGTAGAAAAATTACAGTTATGAAGTAGCAACTAAAATAATTTTATGGTTGGGGGTCATTACCACATGAGGAACTGTATTAAAGGGTCTTGGCATTAGGAAGGTTGAGAACCACTGTTCTAAACTCTTTACCAATACTGATACCATCATCCGTCCAACGGCACTCTACTTCTCTGCTATGTTGAATAATGACACACAGAATTCACACACAGTGACTGAATTTTACTATGGAAATAATAAATCACAATGCAGGCTGAGGAATGCTCAGGACATAGTACTTCCATCAGGACAACTCCTTCTCAGCAATGCAGACAGGCACACCCAGCCTTGTAGAGGCCAAGGGGCTCAAGTCAATGTTGCAAAGCTCTTTTAGCTTTGCCAATAAGTTCCCAAAGGCACTTCCCTCTAGCCAAATGCATTCATATCTAGCTCCAAGAGTCAGCAAATCTAGCTCCTCGCCTCCACTGGACCTCCCACCCAATTAAGTGCCCAGAGGTAACCCACCCTGCGAGCTAGCCTCCTGCCTCAATGTACTCAGCTCTCTCCCTCTGTGAGCTAGGAAATCCACTCTTTCATCTAGTACTCTTAGTTCTGCTGCCACCAATTCTCTGCCACCGCTTCTCGCTGTCTGTTCTCATAGCTTTCTCCTGCATCAAGGAGGTTCAGTACAGGGATCTTGGGTCCAAAGGATGTGCTACAAACTTAGCTCTTCTTTCTTGATGATAGGAAATCCCTTTCTTCTACCTCTGGGATGGTTCATTTTAAGCATAGCAGAATAGAAAAACGAACCAATCCCCTGGTTAGGGCTCCACATACTCCACAAGTTACACATTGTGCTGCTAACTGCAAGATCTGCAGTTCAAAACCACTGACTGCTACCCAGAAGAAAGATGATGTTTTCTGCTCCAATAAAGAGTCAGGGTCTTGGAAACCCATAGGGCCAGTTCTGCTCTGCCCTACAGTCACTATGAGTTGAAATCTACTCAAAGGTAGTGACTTTTTATCCCACAAAAGTGCCATATACCTTATTTGCACCACTAGCAAGCTATCCAATCCTCTTGGGCCACAAGCACCTCATATTTGCAGAGTCCTACCCAGTCAGTTGTCAAGCATATCGTCTTGCTTGGATCAAGCAGCAGTCACAGTGCCTCACATGCATGTGAAAGCTGGAAACTGAATAAGGAAGACGTTGGAGGAATCGCTGCATTTGAATTGTGGTGCTGGGGAAGACTATTGAAAGTACCATGGACTGCTAAAATGACAAACTGATCTGTCTTGGAAGAAGTACAGCAAGAGTGCTCCTTAGAGGCAAGGATGGTAAGACTTTACCTTTCAAATGCGGACATATTGTCAAAAGAGACCAGTCCTTGGAGAATGACATCCTGCTTATAAAGTGGAAGGGTAGTGAAAAAGAAGACCCTCAACCAGGTAGACGGACACAGTGGCTACAACAATGGGATCAGGCAAAGGAACAGCTGTGAGGATGGCTCAGGACCGGGCAATGTTTCGTTCTGTTGTGCATAGGGTCGCTATGAGTCGGAGCCCACTCGATAGCACCTAACACCAACAATAAAGACCCGTTTATTGGGTGGGAGTAACACAGACTATAGCTCAAAGGGCCATATCAAGTAATTCACTGCACTGCATGAATACACCATGCTACCAATCCTCCTTGACAGTTTATCATCTCTAACTGCCCTTCATCACCAGTCTACCCACACTCTTCACCATTCCCAGAACAACTTGCTGGCACCTTCGTGCCCAGGCCTTTGCTTATCGCTGGCTATGCCCATGTTGAGAGTTCCTGCCAGTTGCATGTGTGAGTCCATACACACACACACTTGATAAACTCCAACTCAACCTTCTACTCCAGCCCCCAAGGCAGAACAAACTCCTCCTGCCAAACATCAACCTCCGGAGCACGCACTCCTATCCCAGCACACGCCACAGGGCATCACCGGAGCCACAGGAGCACTGTATCTTGCAGCAATGTCTGTTCTATAACCGGAGCGACGCTTCTGGTATGAATTGTGTGAAGACTACTGGGAAAGCCCTTAGTTCTCTCACTCTGCATTAACTAGCCATCCGCCCTCCCCTGGCAAACGATAGTATATAAGCTATTTAACAACCAGCAAAAGCAAGGTCTGCTTTTCCCTTCATAGGCTTGAATTAGACACAATGGTTTCGAACAGCAAGGAGTCACTGCACTGCCTCAACCAGGCCCTCGCCCTGCTGCTACCGTGCAAGTGGCTCTGACAAGGCAGGGCAGGCAAGGTACTCACCTGGCTGGTTTCCTTCCCTCTCGTGGCCCAGCTGTCCCTGGGTGTTCAGGCCACAAGTATACACTTCCCCATCCTCCAGCAAGAAGACAGAGTGGTTTCCTCCACAGGCGACTTCCTTGACGCTTCTTTCAGATATGAATCCACACACCTGTGGCTCAGCCACAATCCCTTGCAGGTTGGTACTTATACCAGGTTGGCCCAGAGACCAATATCCCCAACATAGCATTGTTCTTATCCTTCAGGGAGTCATGTAGCCTAGAAGAGAAAGTGTTTAAAAAGGAGGCAGGGAAGGTCAGAGAGAGTGAATTGTGAGTAATAAATGTGACCAGTTTTTAACATATTCCCAATATATTTCATATAATTCGCACTTCAAGGTGCAGGAGCTTTCTGCTTTTTTTTTTTTAATGCTAAACCAATTAGTTCCTTTGGGTATTCTATTATTAGCTTGGACAATAGTATTTCACTACTTGAAATTCAAAAGAGGGGTGGGGGAGTTAGCTCCTCTGTATTTCCTTCGTATCCAGATCTGAGTGAGTCATGGCTCAGGGCCCCAGGAGACCCTCTAGCCATGCTCAGCTTGTATCCCTTGGGTGTCACTATACTGCCTTGGTTAGTAGCTTTCTCTGTATCCATCCAACTTACCTCCCCAGCCAGATGTTTATCGCCTCAAACATAAACACACTGCAGTGTAAGTTATACCTTTTTTTAATTTAGCAAGTAGATTACACAATCAACTTCTGACTGATTGAACAGTGCTGACTCTAGCCTAAAGTTTTGCTACCTTTTAAAATGCTGTGCTACTTTAAAAAAAAATAAAAATAAAATAACCAAACTTCTGGTTGTCACTGCAGCAATTCTGACCTCTGTGGACACTGTGTCGAGTAGACCGCGGGGTCTGCAAAGCCTGGGAGCTCTGGGAACAAGACTGCCAGGTGCCTTCTGAAGTGCCCCTGGGTGGGCTCAAATCAAGTCTTCTGACCAGCCAGGGGCTCTATCACACCAACGAGGACGGACGGCTGTCATCCAAGGGACAGATAATGGCAAGCCGTGGTGAGGCTATGGAGAAAGCCTAACCCCCATGCATTGCTGGTTGGACTCTGAAGATGGTGCACTTGCTCTGGAAAGCAGTCTGGCTGGCAGTTTTTCAAAAAGTTAAACATAGAGCCACCATATGATACAGCAACTTTATTTCTATCCTAAGAAAATGGAAAACAGCCATCTACACAAGAACCTGTACAGGAATGTTTCTTAGCAGCATTATTCCTGAGAGCCAAAAGGGAAAACCCAATGCGGTGGAGTCCATTGCAGCCACAAGGTAGGAGTAACCCAAATGTCTACACACTGATCCATGAAGTAGCAGAATATGGAACATCCACACAACACAGTATTAGCCGGCTTCAACATGGATGAACTTGAAGTGTCTGTGAATGAAGAGTTTACTGGAGGCTGCCATGCTGAGCATGAGGTTTTTCAGTGGGCTACCTTTTACAGTGGGAGCCCTAAATCCAGTTTTAGTCTCCAGCTAGATTCCGCCTCCGCTGAGTTCTTTCTGACTGTGGATCCCTGCCGTCAAGTGTATTCTCACTCATAGTGGCCCTATAGAGGATTTCTGAGGCTGTAAGTCTTCACAGGAGTAAACAGTCTCATCTTCCTCCCTCGGCATGGCTGGTGGGTTTGAACCTCCAATCTTACAGTTAGCAGTGCCACCAGAGTTCCTGACCACTGACCAGCCATGTGCAAAGCTTTGTCCTCAGGCAGAATGTACTGGAAAGTGGACTTCCACCAGCCCTAGGAAAGCAGCCTCGGCCTCGTACTCAGACTTGCGTGAGTATGCCCTTGATGGAAACTAGAATATTAATCGCATTCTCAGGAATCATGCCCCAACTGCCTTGGTCAGGGCTCCACACCAAGCTGCAAACTTTCCTAATCTGGAGGAATGTATGCATCATAATCCTGGTGTTGTTTTGTTTTTTCTCTAGAGCACTGATGGCACAATGGGTTAGAGCCGCAAAGTCTGTTGATCAAATCCATCAGCCAGTCTTTGGGAGAAAGATTAGGCTTTCTTTCTACTCCCTGAAGATTTATAGTCTAGGAAACTGACATGGGCAGTTCTACTCTGTCCTGTAGGTTCGATATGAGCTTGGTTTGGTTTGAGATTTTTGGAAGTAGGCAAATATCACTTTTCTATTTGCCCCCTTCTGCTTACAAACATCACTCAGCCAAGCTCACTGCCATTGGTTAGTACTGCTCCATAGGGTCTGCAAGGTGCAATCTTTATAGAAGCTGACTGCCACATCTTTCTCCCAAGGTGCTACTGGTGGATTCGAACTGCTGAGGGTTCAATTAGCAGCCAAGTGCTAATTCACTGCATCAACAGGATTCCTTTGGTTTAGAAGAAGGGTCCAAGATATAGGGAATAAAGGAGATAGAGAAGATCACAATTAAGTCGTGTAGAAAATGAGACACTCTTGTTTAAGATACAAAATAAAGAGGAAGTGATTGAGGCCTGTAATGTGGTTGGCAGCTGGAAACGTGGCCAATAACTGGTATGATGCTAGCCTGCGGCAGGGAATGAATTTAAAAAACCATGAAATCTGGCATGTCAAATGAAGTTGGTTACTCTTCCATGTGCCACACCATTTGTAAGAGTTAGGATATAGCATTCTCACAAAAATTTTCCTTTACAGAGCATGGATGAAATACTGAACCAAAGTTCAAATAGGCTCTCATGAAGATTAAAACAAATGGCTGAGCAAACAGCAAACATTTTGGATGAACCACAATCGGACAACCGAAGCATCCTTCTCCTTGAAAATCCTTCGAGATCTGGGGAGAACGCTAAACCTTGTAGTGGTTCTGCACCGGTCTGCAGGCCCCAGACACTACAGTCTCCGAAACCCACAGAGGCAGTTTGACCCAGTCCTATAGGGTTTCTGTGAGTCAGCATGGACTCGATAGGAGTGAGTTTTGTTTTGTTTGGGTTTTCTTTTGAGGGGCTGT